AAACAGGTTAAAAAATTGTGCTGGAACTTTTTTTTCGCTTGGAAAATGCTGTTTTGTTGAAACCAAAACTTTCAGTGGGAACATTTCAAGTTCTGCAAAATGTAGTTTAGGAAGAAACTGAGTGAAAAACATGGGAATGGAACACTTTGAATTTTCATTCAGACCTGATGCATTTTTTAGATGAATATTATACAAAATGTCAAGCAGAACAAAATGTTTTGATTTTGTCAAAACAGAAGCCTTCAATTACCCCAAATGAGGTTTTTTTCCCCCCTAAAACTTTAATTTCTGCTTTAGGAGGTTTTTTCCCCCCTAAAACTTTAATTTCTGGGCAATTTTTTTGTTTGGTTGTGGGGTTTTTTGTTTTTTGTTTTTTAAATTTTCATTTGGAACAAAGACAAAGTTTGAATTTCCCACAGAACTGAAATTCTAATTTTACCCAGCTCTGCTCCCAACATGCACAGCTTTCACAGATGCTAACACCAAAGAATTTTGGGTGCCAATTTCCTTAGTATAGAAGCAGCCTTTTTGTCAGGGAATGTTTATTAACTTCACAACTCCTCCAGTAATTTTCCTGCTTTTACCTAAAATGGTGAGACAGAATTTCAGCTGTGGCACTTACTATTTGTATTTACATCTCATAAAAGTCCCAAACAGAGATCAGGATTCCATTGGGTAGCCACCATACATGACACAAAGATTGTTTGATTCCCCTTACAATTTAAGTATATGCTGTGACAACAAGTGGATACAGCAAACAAGCGTGTGAGCAAAATAACAGACAATGATCAGCATGAAAAGTAGCAGTCTTGGCATTCTAGATACTTAGCCATTGTTGAGCACTTTCTAGTCATCAGATAATGGTGAGTTTTAGGAGGACATGCACATAGACAATTTGAGGCTAAATCCCTCCCAAATTTAGCGTTCATATTAATAAATTAAAGAACAGCTGACTATGCAACTGCTGTTCCTCATTTAGCTTCATTAAAAGGTGGCAAATTTAGTCTTTGTAGAAAACTGCTCAATCAACAGCTATTGTTTCATTACTTTTTAACTCTAACCCCCACACCCCAGAATAAATAAAACTGTGCATGCCTGTGGGAAGGGTTTGAAGGAGGAGAATGTGACTTTATTGATTTCCCCCTTCCCACCCCCTATGCATAACAGTAAGTGCAGAAGACTGCAGTTGATTGGTTGGGAATTGAACTGCTTGGAGGGTTATGTTCACTGCTACTCCATCAGTACTTTAATAAATAAATTAAGACCTTCACATTTCAAGAACCCGGTTTTTAAAACATCCAAAACCAATCATTAGAAATATTGCTATAGATTTTGAAGAGCAATACAGGCTGGAAATATGTTTGTGTGCAGAAGGATGTTCTCATACATACACATACTATTATATAGCTTAGGGAAAACGTACCTCATCAGAGGAAAAACAACAACATTGGACATGTTTCTTTTATGTCAGAAAATGTTGCTATTTATTTTCTAGATGTGAGGATTCAATACTGAATGAACAGTTCAATGACTCCACAGAGCTCTCTGTATTCCTCTCTTCACTGGGAGGCCAGTAATTTTCCATTTCAGACTCACTGCTCTTTCAATCTAGTGATCTCACAAAGTCAGCACAGATTTGTAACACTGAGTCTGAATAGCTTTTTAAAATTCTCTTATTTGCGGGAATGTTTGTACCCTAGCTTTGTAATGTCAAGGCATAAAGGGCAACAATTTTATTCTGTGACCTAACCTAGCGGCCCTGTACCATCATTTTCAGGAAATAGATTGTGGTCAGGAATAGTCTTCACACAATTTTTTTGGCACAAAGTTTGTCAGGTGCTCTAACAGAGGCAGTTCATTCTAAGGCTGTCTCTAGACTACACCTCTCTGCCGACAGATGTAGATTAGGTATGTCGAAATTGCTAATGAAGTCGGGATTTAAATATCTCGTGCTTCATTAGCATAAACATGGCTGACACTTTTTTTTCGAAACGGAGCTTTTTCGAAAAAAAAGAGGCAATCTATACATGGCTTTTTCAAAAATACAACCCTTTTTTGAAAGATCCCTTATCCCTCATAAAATGAGGTTTATTGGATCTTTGGAAAAAGGGTTGTATTTTCAAAAGATCTGTGTCTAGACTGCTGTTTTATTGAAAAAGCTCCATTTTGAAAAAGGCGGCAGCCATGTTTATGCTAATGAAGCGTGAGATATTTAAATCCCCGCTTCATTAGCAATTTTGACATGCCTAATCTACATCTCTCTGTCAACAGAAAGGTGTAGTTTAGACACAGCCTAATGTTTCAAACATAGGGCTGGGAGTTAAGAGATAATGGTTTTATTCTTGTGCATTGTGACCCTATGGACCATGCATTTTAGTGCTCTGTGTGTGGGTTTCCCAGTATCTAAAATGTGGAGGCCAGATTTTTTTTAATTAACTTTGAAATGGGATGGGGAGAGGGGAGGAGGGAGAAAGCTCAGATGCTCAGAGTTAATGTCTTTGCTCCAATGAAGTGAATGGTAGAACACCCATTGATCTCTTAAACTAGGATTTCACCCTCAGTATTTTAAAGAGGCATTTGGGAAAGAGGGAGATTGGATAATCTTTTTGTTTGATTTTGTTTTGTTTTTGCGGGGTAATTTATTGGTCAAGTCTGATGGTGCCCACAGCCTGATAGACACCTTCTGGAAGAAACTGAATTTCTTACCAATAACCTATCATGCTTTTGTGCAACACACATCACAGCCGACTAATCAATTCAGCAGCAGCATTAGACTTCAAACACTGCTACAAGGTATAGACTTTGATTAATGCAGGGAGCCAGAGCAGAATAGTAGCAGGGAACCATTTACTGGAGACTTAGTACCATTCCCATGTAATTGATCAGAAATACAGGCTGTTTTTGTACAGATCCAAATGTATGGATTCGGTTCTTAAGTCAAAAATGTAAAACACTGTGGTTATGTCTACACTACCCCGCTAGTTCGAACTAGTGGGGTAATGTAGACATACCCTGTGTGATTACACTGGTATGTGACAGACACAGGTATATTTTATTCCCTTCCCTGTGCTTTTCCCAGACGCTTGCTCTCCTTAACTTCTCCTCTGCACTAGACAGTAGAGATGTAAAAACTTGTAAAAATATTAACCGTGTAACCAATTAACATTTAAATTGATTACATGGTTAAACGATCTCCATGAGGCTGCAGCCATGTGGGCAGCTGACTTGCAGACTTTGGGCTGCCGTGGGCTCCTGGCACTCTTGGGTACCATGGGCTCCCGACATGCCCGGCCTTTGTGGGCTCACGGCGCTCCTGGCCCCATGTGGACTGCTGACGTTCCTGGCCCATATGGGCTACCGGCCTTGCAGCCTGCCACCCCCAGAAGTTTAACCATTAACCAGAACTGATAAAGCAACCTGTTAACTGATTAACCGGTTATCTGGTTAAACTCTTACATCCCTACTAGACAGCAAGTCCAGGAGCCATGCTGGGATGGGAGCAGAGCTGTAACACTTAGCAGAGGTTCCCCAAGCTCTGTGCAGGGCAGATGGAAGCTGGATGACTGACCATCCCTTCATGAGAATGAGCTCCACTGCTGACTTTGCTGCAACTTCTGGAAGGAGCAGCAGGTGGTCCCCACATGGAGGTTGCTGCTGGTTGCTGGCAGAAGTCTGAGGAATGGGGACAGGATGGGAGTTTTCCTGGGCTTCCTTGAAGCTGCAGAGCATTGTGTTTTTGAGCAGTTGGCATGCCCCCTGCCTAGCCCTCATGGCAAAATTAATAACTTCTATTCCAACAACAGTGCAGCCGCTACACAAGTGCTAAGCTGCTAGCATTGACGCTGATGAACCTGTCTTTGCTAGCATAAGAAAATAAGTGACCCCATCCCTTGTCTCCCATTCTCAGCCTTTGACAGAGACGAGAGACACCATTCCTACCCGTCCTGGCTGATAAGCATTGATGGACCTATCCTCCATGAATGTACCTACTTCTTTTTCAAACCCTGTTAAAGTCCTGGTCTTTACAACATCTTCTGGCAAGGAGTTCCTCAGGTTGACTGTGCACTGCATGAAGAAATACTTCCTTTAGTTTGTTTTAAAGCTGCTGCCTATTAATTTCATTTGGTGCCCCCTAGTTCTTGCGTTATGGAAACAAGTAAATAACTTTTCCTTATTCACTTTCTCCATGCCAGTTTGATTTTATAGACATCTATCATATCCCCCCTTAGTCTCCTCTTTTCTAAACTGAAAAGTCGCAGTCTTTTTAATCTCTCCTTGTAAGGCAGCCATTCCTAACCCCTAATTATTTTTGTTGCCCTTTTCTGAACTTTTTTCAATGCTAAGATATCTTTTTTGAGATGAGGCGACCACATCTGTACGCAGTATCCAAAATGTGAGCGGACCATGGATTTATATAGAGACAATGCGATATTCTGTTAGTCTCTATCCCTTTCTTAATGATTCCTAACATTCTGTTTGCTTGTTTGGCTGCTGCTGTAAATTGACTGCGTCAATTGCACCATTCCTACCGTGGGTGCAGCTGCACTGCTCTTGGAACATGGCTTCTTTTACTAATGCAGGCCAGGCCAACAGGATATAGTTCAGATTCTGCTGGGAGCAGGAAGAGGGACGGGCTCCTTGTTTTCTTCCCTTCTTGTACAGCCTGGGGAAGCCAGATTTTATCCTTGCCACATAACTGTGAACAAGCTTTTATCAGACCTGGATGACCACAGACATTCATCTCAGTGACTTTTCCTTAGAGCACTTTAGTGGTATACAATTAAGAACTAATACAATTGCCCCTCCATTTCTTTGGCATTAAACAGATACTTAAGAGTTGATAAAGTAGGAAGACAAAGGCCAAGGCATTTCTCAGAGTGAGGAAATCAAATTACTGCTGAGGAAAACAGAGCGGAAATGGGGTTATTGCTATTAGAATGCCAGCTTAATGCAATATTGATATGCTTTATTTTTAATTATTAACACTAGTCTTGGTTGACCACTGATCCCAGCATTGGCAGTGGGGATGACTTGAAATAGCCTTATCTACGTCTTATACCTCAATTGCTTTGTTGGAGTTGAGAGAAGAGGCCACCGGAGTCTGCTGTACTGTGTCCTGAGTGGGAAGGATGTCTCCTGGAATTAAAAATTAGGACAATCAGAAATATCATTCTGGATGGAATAATAATACAGGTTTAACCTCTCTAATCAGGCACTCTCTGGTCTGACAACATCCATGGTTTGGCATGATTTTAGTTAGCCAGATATCCACTTATCATAGATATGGTCAAGTTTCCCACAGTCCCATTAAGTTTGTTCATAGCCACCCATCCTGGCTCTCAGTGTTCTGTGTTATTTAGCTCTAACTTACTCTAAATATCTTCTAACAGCCCAGTAAGTAGTGGAAGTGATGGTAATGTTGCTGAGCAATACTGATCTTATGTGTTTTGGCAAATTCTTTGGTTTGGCACCAGTCAGGTCCCAAGGGTACCAGACTAGAAAGGTTCAACCTAGAGTAGTTCAGCAGACAGATTTGGAGAATGGAGACTGGTATATCTCTCCAATACACTATAGGGAGTTAGCATGTTATTACTGTATGTACACAAATAACTCAAACAAAAGAAAGGACCATGCAGCACTCTAAAGACTAACAAGATGGTTTATTAGTTAATAAGCGAGTGGGTCTGGCCCATGAAAGCTCATCACAATAAGCGAATGGGTCTGGCCCATGAAAGCTCATCACCTAATAAACCATCTTTTTAGTCTTTAAAGTGCTGAATAGTCCTTTCTTTTGTTTCAGCAAGATCAGACTAACATGGCTACATCTCTATTACAAATAACCCAGTGAATTGGAGGATCTGAAATTCTTAGTGGATGCAGCTGGGAAATTATTGGCAATATTCATTATTATGCTGCTAATTGTTGTTGTAGATAATTCTAATGAACCCATCCCTGTGGCATCTGGGCAGAGCCTCCCCTTGATTGTGGATGAATGTCCATCGCTTACAATCCATTTTTCATGACTATAAAAATAGGTCCTGGGTAATTTAAATTCTTTGTAATAATAAAACTGGTTTCAGGAATGTAATTTGCAATTTCCTGGAAGGTAATTTACTGGAGATAATTTTACATCAGTGGCGTATGGAACTGACGCAAAATCATGTCCAAATGTGTCTTTTTGACACTCTCAGAGTCTCAAGAGTTGGACACACTTCAGAACGGAAACATGTAATTAATCACTTTTTTCACATTTGAAAATATATTAATTTTCATAAAGAATGATTGTACAATTTTGAAGCTGTCTGCACCTATTCAGAAGTTAGGGCCAGATTGTCAAAAGTGTGCAGGGCCAGATTTTCAAGAACTTAGAGCTCACAATTGCAGGACAGATTGTTGAAAGAGCTAAGCTGCTATTAAGGACTTAATATACGGAGGTTTTCAAAAGTTAAGCACTTGCGTTAAGTGATTGCAGGACAGAAATCTTATCTGCGGGTCTAAATGGGAGCTGATCTTTTCTGAAAGTCTTGTCTGCAACCTTAGTTTGCTTTTAATATCATTTGATTTTTTGTTTGTAATTTACTAGGTTGTTTTTTTTTTAAAGCAAGCTGAAAAAAACCCAGACTTTCTCTCATGGAGCATCATATTGACACCAACATGATTCATCTTCAGGGCAGAAATCTTTAGCTGTACCATGTAGACTCCTGTCCCTTGAGCTAAGAAAGTAACAAGTAGTAGTAGTAGATTGTTATTCTTGGGGTGGTGGTTGTGTTTTGCAACTACTCATTCAAAGATAATAGCTAAATAGTTAAATAAATAATGAAATCGGCCTGAAGCAAACATCTGGCATGGAAATTTTCAATCCAGCTGGTTGAAGGTCAACGAAAATGTGAGCCTCTGAAAATAGAGACTTATAATGGGAACCGTCAAGCAGCCTTATCAATGCTACTAGCCTCACCTATACTGTGTATATATGAATTTTATTTGATAAATTAATATTTCATAGCCAGGATACAGAAGAAGAGGAGTTTTAAGAGAAGGCCAATGTTTGTTAGGGATGTGACTGTAGATATCAGTACTTATGCTGAAATAAGTTATTTCACTCATGGAACTGAGAGAGGGGTTTTTACCCAAGAGAGGTAACAACTGGTAGCTGGAAGCCTGAGTAGGAGCCCTTGGTGCACCAGAGAAGGGAGAAGGAGAAGAATACCTGAAACTGACATATTTACCACCAAACTCTCACTAAAGGTTAGACCTCCCTGATCTGGCACCTTTGGGACCTGACCGATCCCGGACAAGGGATTTTGCTGCACCAGGGGAGATCAACTCCAACCCCTCTGCCAATGGACTCTGGGATCTTCCAGGGTCCATCATCAGACCCCACGGGGCTCTGCACCTGGCTCCACTGCCAGCTGATCTGGCTCCCTTCCTGCCTCGGGACTGCTGGGACTCCGTGGTTCCAGGGCAGTTGGGGCTCTGCTGCCATGGGCTACTCTCAGGTCAGCCCCAAGACACTGGGCTCCTGGAATTCTGAGTTCTCTGGTCCAGGGGCTCTTTCGTCCAGCAACATCCATGGTCCTACAGGACTATGGATGTTGCTGGACCAGAGTTCTGGACCACAGAGGTTCAAACTGTAGTGTTGACTATCGTTAAGAAACCGCCATCCAACCAGTCTGAACTACCCCAAGAACACTGGATAGGCTCATCTGAAACCAGTCAGCTTGATGGTATAGAAAGACCTTTAAGACTTATAATTAGAGAAAACTCCCATTTGGATAGGGGCAGTACTTTTTTTGTTAAAAACAAACAAACAAACAAAAAACTACTGGTGGTGGGGCCGGCATTGCCCTTTTAAGAAATGTGGCCCCTTTAAGAAACGCGGCCCAGCTGACTGTCGGCCATTTCCATTACAGAGGTGCCGGTATGCTCCATTCTTTCCAGGTATGCTCTGACTGGAGGTGCCAGTACTACATACTGGGCAGTCCTGTCAAAAAAAAAAAACCAACAACACTGAGTAGGGGTGAAAGCATGGCTGGGTGTCTTAAAGTCTAGCCAAAAAAACCCAACAACACTGAGTAGGGGTGAAAGCATGGCTGGGTATCTTAAAGTCTAGCTTGGCGGTAATAAGGTAATGAGTTCTAGCATTGTGGCTATAGCTTCACTGCCAAAAAGGCATGTTTTTATAATGAGATTTACTTGTTATAAAATCCTGCAGGAAACAAGACCAGAGTCATCAGAAATCAAGTGTGAAAAATCAGGATGAAGGGTTGAGGGGCAATAGGCATCTATTTAAGGAAAAAGCCTCAAATATTGAGACTCTCCCTATAAAATCAGGATATTTGGTTACTTTAAACAAGGCACAGATAGTTTTTACCTCTATCTTCTAAGGGTCAACTCCGCATCCCCATCTTGGGGTGACTTTGAGTAGTTACATTGAGGTAGAAACTATCTTGCCTTGTTTCTTATGGGATTTTACAATGATACGGCTAACTCAAGAGAGTGCTCTTGCTGGGAAAACACACCTTTTTGGCAGTGAAGACTTAGCATGAGATTTAAAATCAGGTTGAATTTAGGAAGGGTCTTTATTTCTCTCTGGATACAACTTGGAGCTGGAACTCTGAGGAGAGGTCAGAGCCAAGACCCAATCATTAATAATAATAATTAATACTTTGCTCTTATATAGCCCTCTTCAACCATAAATTTCAAAGTGGCCAAGCAATATTAAACATGTAAGATTTTAATTTCTGTTCTGTGATTAAACTGAACACACCTTATCTAATGCATGAGAAGTGTAAACCTTGATGAATTAAGTAAACAACTTATGTTGCTATAAATCAATTTCTATTTAAGAAAATCTCTTAATGGAATAATTTCTTAATATAAAATTTGTGTTGGTGTTTCAGGCAGATTGTCCCAAAGGAGAAAAGAACCATGCAATCTTGGAGGAGAGGTGCTAAAGGGTAAACAGTTTACGGGAGCAAAGCCACACACACATGAACTAAAGGCAAGGACAGAATTATGCAAAAAATGTGGCAGATAAAACACGAAGGGGAACCCACAGCAGATGTGACATGCAGGATGATTGGCTTTTAGGAGCACACATAGGTCAGGGGGTTGAGCATTGGCCTGCTAAATGCAGTGTTATGAGCTCAATCCTTGAGGGGATAATGTGGGGAAAATCTATCAGGGATGATACTTGGTCCTGCTGTGAAGGCAGGGGACTGGACTTGATGACCTGTTGAGGTCCCTTCCAGTTCTATGAGATGGTATATCTCCATATATTATTTTGATTGCAATCTTTTTTTAGCATTCTTTTCCCTCTCACGTACACACACACTCACTGCACATGCTTCTGTAGCTTTCCAGCAATGCAGAGATGCATCTTAAAGGACAGATGAGTAGCTACACAAAACCTCAGTAAAACCACAATGCTGCATTGTATTCCTGCCATTGTGTAAGGCACATGGGATTTAAAATGAATTATTTTTACACAACTAGGTTCCATTAACATAGAATTAAAAGTCCCCCTAATGGAAAGTGGGTTTGTGGCTTTTAAAATAATAGAACCTCTCAATGGAATGCTCCCTTACTATGAGTAATGCAAATATTTGGAACTAATGTGGTATAGTTGGCAATGTTGTTCTGCATTGTAATGAACTTCTTTTTTGCCTGTGGCATTAATGAATCATAGGTCTCTTTCACCAGGAGAATTAGCAGACTATTCTTTTGAAAGACATTCATCTGTATTTAGTAAAGAGAAGCAGTCGATTGGACATGAGGAGAAAGCCCCTCCCTCTGTAACTGAAAAAAAAAATTCTTTGGAATATTGCACTTCACATACCAAATAATTTATCTAATACCTCTCTGCAGTCTATTCTGTTTAAGTGTGACAGCTAAGGAGTTTACATTTTATCTGCTGGAAACAGGTGTTTCAGCATAAATGAGCTTGAGGAAATCTGCAAGAAGCAGGGGGAAATATTTTAATTGTTCTAAGAATCAAAAGCATGTGGCTTAGTTGTGAGGTGAGATTGAAAACCAGCTGAAATGATAAGATGGAGAAATAAATTAACAAACAAGTACCATCCTATGCTGAAAAGCTGTCTTGCTGAGCTTGTGGTTTTAAACTTTCCACTTTAAAAAACTATTGTCGAGCAATAGAATTTATGTTCTAATCATGACTATTTTACTAATCACACGGTATCAGTGGTGTAGCATGATTTATACACTGTGCTGCAGAGTTTCAGCACATATTCACACAGTTCATATATTAAATAATGGTAAGGATCAGATAAACATAATGAAACAAAATGTCCTGAGACTCAGGCTATGTTTATACTACAGTTTTTTCAGAAAAATGGACGGTTTTCTGAAAAAACTTCACTTACATCCACCCTGCAATCACGTTCTTGTGAAAAAAAAATTGAAAGAACAGAGGTGTTTTTCCAACATTGGTAAACTTCTTTCTACGAGGAAGAAGCCTTTTTCTGAAAGAGCTCTTTTGGAAAAAGACATGTGTATATGGGGAAAAGGGAATTCTTTCGAAAAAAGAGGAAAAAGCACAGGTTCCCTGGTGGCCACTCTGTCCATAGTAATCACAGCTGAAATGCGAGATAGCGTCCATTCAGTGTAGACGTTATCTTTCAAAAAAGCAGAACGCTTTTTCGATACGCTTAGGCAGTGTGGACGCTTTCTTTCAGGAGAAGTTTTTTCGGAAGTTCTCTTCTGGAAAAGCATCTTCCGAAAGAAGCCTGCAGTCTAGATGTAGCCTCAGAGTGACAGAACATGCTGAGCAACAATGCACCAAGGGAGGTGGAGTATTTTTGCCTCAGGTACAGTGGAAATCTGCTCTCTTGTCAAGGGTCCTGTCATCCCTGGGAAATCAACAGCTTCCTAAAAAAGCCATGCTGGCCACTGCAAGCTAAGGTGATGAGGGCAAAACTTAAAGTAAAAAAAACCATTCCTAGAAAAAAGTCAGTTATTTGAAACTGAACTTAAAGTGGGTTGCTCTTGCATTTTCCCAGTGAAGAGGAGAGGTGCACAAAGAACACAGAGGATTCCTAAAAGCCTCCTCCCACAAGGAAGAAACAAAAAATTAAAAGTTATCTTTGTGAAAAAAAATCAAGACTGAACTGACCCTGTGAGCATTTGTACCTTTCATTTGATAGAACCCAGAGCTTAGATTATTAAGTCTAGGCCTGTTCTTAACAGTTTAAAAAAATGGCCAAGTTATTGATTTTTTTTTTCAGCTATCACTGCTAATTCTTAACTCTCTATCCACTGTGATGCTTCTGACAATCCATTAAATCAGTGGCACAAATCTGAGTCTAGTCCACTCAGCACTAATAAAAAAATGGCTTTTCTTCATATCTAGTCATTACTTTGCATAATGATCTTACTATGCATTCAGTATTGTGAATCAATAATTAACTTATTATGTGATTAGATTCATATTAAGCGCAAACACATCATACTCAACATTTAGATGTACACATGCCATGTTATATTTGTATAGTTGAAATGCTGTGCAACTATTAATATTCACTTGCATCACTGTGCTATAAAAGTACAGTTTTAGAACTCAATTAAATTTTAACGGGGCCACTAACAATGCCATAAACAACCCTCAAAACCTTATGGACATGTCACCTGCAAATTTTCTTGTCTTAAATTCTCATGGCACAGAAAAGAAAAAGCTAAATGTTAGTTACAATAAAATGAGTTTAAAATATTAAGATTCTCAGTTACATATATGACACAAAAGATTTTTAAGACTGAAATGTGATAGCCTGACTGAAAATTCTAGGTACAACATGTCTAATGCGCTGATGATATATCAACAAGGACTTTGTTTTATAGTGCTCTGTTTCTAGTTGTCTAACATGCTGTGTGTATGTACTGTCTAGACAGTAGGAATGTATGTACAGTCTAGACTGTAGGTAAGCAGGAAGTGAATACCAAGAAAATACGAGGGCAGTGTTATTTTGTTTGCTTTGTGGGGTTAAGAACCACTAATCAAAGTAATTTTGTCTATATTTTTTTCCTGCCATTAAATGGGAAAGTTACTTAGGGTATGTCTACACTTGCCCCCTAGTTCAGATTAGGGAGGCGAATGAAGCATACTGAAGTTGCTAATGAAGCGTGGATTTAAATATCCTGCACTTGATCAGCATATTCGCGGCCGGTCGCCATTTTAAAATGCCGGTAGCCTGATTTAACTTGCTTTGTGTAGATACGGTAGTCCGATTTAAAACCCTTCCCTCGAATTAACTGTTACTCCTCGTGCAACTCTTATTACCAGCCTAGTCACACACATTGTCTGCCTCTTATGTGGGAGAATGAGGAAAGGAAAGGGCCGGGACAGGTCATGATGTAGGTTCCGATAGGTCCTGGTGACTGTGCATATTTGCGTGTGTGTGTGTGGGGACAGGTCATGATGTAGGTTGTGATAGGTCCTGGTGACTGTGCATATTTGCGTGTGTGTGTGTGTGTGTGTATCTACATATTCCTCTTATGTTTGTAGAGATGACAGATACTTTTCCAGAGAAAATTTAGTTTTCAGTGAAACATCACAGATGAAATATGATTCTGAAATGTCACTGTGGTACCTCCAGGGAACCTCGTGCTCCCAGATTCCTTTAATTGGACATGCTTCTTGGTCGGTCTTCATCTCCTGGGATGCGTTACAGTCTGTCTCTTGGTAAGGTGAGGTGAGACATTGTGGCAGTTGTATGGCTGTTGCTCAGAGGCCATAAAGTCTATCTACGAGCTCAGACAATAGAGAAGCCTGCAAGCATAAAACAGTTTTGATGGACTATTTCTGACCAGCCGTACTGTTCATGTCATTGGAAGCCACTTTAAGTTCTCAAACAAAGCGAGGTCCAAGTTTCTTCATAATGGAAGCCATTAATAGGTCAACATTTGCCCACCATTCCCATTGGCTTACCTTGGACAAAGCTAGGAAGAAATGGATAATCTCAGTTACCACGTTGTGCTAGTTGTTAGCAAATATTGACTTATTCATGTAAACCACTGGATTTTTGGTTCCTAGGTAGTAGGGATGTGACTGTTTACCTGGTTAAACGCGGGTGAGACTTACTGGTTAAGGTTAACTGGTGGTGGCTGGAGCAGTGCGCCACCTGCCA